CGGGCGGCGCGGGGCTGCTGAGTCCGGCAGCACGCCCGCTCTCGATCCTTGCCGCCCGACTTGGCGCACTCGCGAGATGCGGTACGGCTTGGGCTCCAGCTGGCGTGCACGCGTCCCGTCCTGGAGGGACCGTGTCCGCCTTCCGCTCTCCAGTGAGACCCAAGACCTTTTGTTTGGGAAGGAATCCAAACTACCCCGTACTCATGGCCCGGCGTACTTTGGAGCGAGGGGAGGGTCCTAGCGCTCCTGGAGGCGTGCTCCACGTTCCCTGCCGCCTCCGCATTCACAGGTTGAGAGCTTTCACCGGAAAGTGGCGCGGCGGCCATTGCTAGGTTTGCGCCACGGGGACGCGGCCAGCGCCGCTTATGTAAGTTTGGCTCGTGCCGGACATCCCCGCTCTGCCGTGGCAGCGTTGTCCAAGAGGTTTGAAGACGCGTTCCGAAGAGGCGGCGTGGTTCTAAAGGTGGAAGCTGACCTGTGCAGACACTGGCAATGGGTGTTTTCCATTTTCACATTCCTGCACTTAGATATTGAGTCATTCCACTGATAGCAAAAATGGGTAGATGACACAGGACCTTTCTGGTCCTCAGCTTGAAAAGTAGAGGTGGGACAATACACAGTATCATTCAGTCCTTCTTCCCTCCCCCCCCCCCAAAAAAAAAATTTTATGTGCACAGATAAGTTGTCATGACTACTTTGGCCACAACTCTCCTTAATGACATGCACTTAGTATCCCACAAGCTCTGCTGAAAGTCACGGACAAAATTCAGAATCTTTTTCTCACGGAGTGAATATAGGCTGGGGTGCTTCTAGGGAACAGAGAGGCAAAGGCATATTGAAGTTGGAAGCACGCTTAAAGCCATTTTGCCCGATTCTCACTGCACAGATGAGAGCTACTGTAAGAAGTTTTATTGATGTGTTCACTTTTATGTAGAAAAAAACTATACGTAGCGTTATTTTTAAAAAAAAATTAAGAGTATTACTTAGAGCCTGCTGGCTTGCTTTTAACCACACTAGCTTATTTGTGGCCACTGTTCTGTAGAGCAGGCTTTGCATTTCAGGGTATCACTGCATGATGGAAGAGTTGGGTTAATAGATAAAGCTCTCTTGGAAAATCTTTAAAGGTAAAATGGAAATAAAGACAACAGGTTGGGGAGGGGAGCCACTACTGTTCCCCCATCCTTATTAACTCTGGCTATGGATACTAATTTTCTCACCATTCAGAGTCTAAAGAAAAATTTAAAAGCTATAATTAAAACTAGTTGTCAATGAGTTGATTCAGACCCAAGTGTGTGAGGTAGAACTACACTGATTGATTGTTTTACAAGTAAGTAGCTTCTTAACACGCCTTCCAAAGCACCTTGGATCTGAGCCTCAAATTTTTCAAGTGTTAACCATTTGCACTACCTGTCAACACTATACCCAGCAGTAATTAGTGGGGGTCAAAACAAAAAACCCAACCCTGAAGCTGTGGATTTGGACTAATAGCTGATCCTTAAGCTGGAGGCCATTGGAAAGAGATTGTTCATCTTTCTCTTGCGAAGTTGCTGGAGGATTTGCATTTCCAGAGAGGTGCCTACCTTTTGGGTTACAGCTCATCTCCATACATAGTGGGGTAGGGAGTGTTTATTTGTTTTCCCATAATCTGTTTAGCTGTCAACATCTGTACAAAAACTGACATTGACTTTGGAGAAATTACCTAGAGGTGCTCCCATCATCCTTCACTTCTTGGTGCACTATCCAGATAACCCATGGGAATTACAGCCCTGACCTGCACTGCTGCTTTGTACCCAGAGCTTGGCCTGAGGTGGCCACTTGCTCTCTTCTTTGCTCACAATGAGAATATGGATGAATGTATAAGTGGCAAGACCAAAAAAGAAAAGTTTATTGTTCAAAATCTTGATTGCATTGGCTTGAACTTTGGGATAGAGAAAGAACCCCCCTCATTCTTGTTTACCCCTTTCTCTTACAGGTTTGGCTTGTGCCCGATCAGAATTATTCTGATCTGAAGAATTTGGTGTTTAAAGCATTAAGAGAATAGCCTTCAGTTGTTCATGGTAATTATAGTTTTGGATATTAAACCTTGAGATTATGATTTGATGTTTGCTTTAAATATGTATCACTTCTGACTAAGCATTCACAAGTTCTAATTCTTTGGGAAATATTTTTATGTCATGTATAATTATTTTAGGGAGCTCTGGTGGCCTAGTGGCAAGAAGTTGCACTGCAATCCCGAAGGCACGTGGTTCAAGGCCACCAGCTGCTCCGTGGGAGAAGGATGGGCAATCTCCTCCCTTGCGATTAACTGCCTCTGAAAACCTGCCGGAGAGTCAACTATGGGTCGGTTCCGACTCTACGGTAAACAATAATAACATAACATAATTATTTTATACTTATGATTAATATTTATAATCTATCGATTTCTCATTGAGGGAAAGGAAACTAATGTTTTACAGAAGAAAACATGCATATTATTTTGGAAAGATCAGTTCTTTAATATGGTAGCTGTTATCTCTTATGCTAGTAACCAGTCTAAAGGAGGGCAAATTAATTTCTCATCCAACAATTTATACACATTTGTTTTCTAACATTAGTTGTAATCTCTTCAGTATAGCAGCACTCTCCCTACTTCCTCTCTGAATTGCCCATATCGATTCGTCCTTCTTTCCTGCTTTTTCTTGTGTTCTGAGCTTTGTTTTAGGGAAAACATTGCCCTTTGGTCTTGAATAGACAGTTTACCTTGAAAGTTTTAGAGTAGTAGGATTACTTTCTTCCTAGGTGTTTTTGGTCAGTTTATAGGCTTGTGCTGTTTGGTTAAAATGGTGATCCCCAAGGGTAAGCTCAGTTCAGGTTTGATGGGTGTGTAAGGGCCAGGTCTCGAGATTTATTTCCATTTTGTCTCTATTAAGTTTGGTGTTTTTTTTTAATAAGTCCTACATTTCTTTTGCTTGTTAAAGACTTGTGGCATTTGTCAAGTACATGCAGTTTTGACAGTTTTATCTGGATGGACATGGATTGGCATCCAAGGGAATGAAGTCCTCTTCCAAAAGTCATCTATTTTTCAGAGAGTGGTAGTAAACCTTAAGCCTCTTTTGTAGATGTGGCCCCAAACTGTTGTGGGAATACTAAGAGACAGGTCTGATTAGAAAGTTAGCAATAATGACCGATGCTAATTAAGTCACAGTGCTTTCTGTTTCTCTAAAAGGTAATATTGGTTCAGTAGTAGAATTCTCACCTTTGGAAGTAAGGATACTAAAACTCTATCTCCGATACTTTGAACATGTGTTCAGGAGGGGCCAAACCTTATCCTTAGAAGGGGGGAGTCAGCACAGGAGAGGAAGACACTGGAGGAGATGGATTGACAACACTGGGATAAGGTGTATTGGAGATGGAGAGGTTGGCTCAGGATAGGGTAAGGTTCAGTGCCATTGTTCATAGGGTCACTGTGAGTTGCAGTCAAGTTGACAGCACCTGCAACATGCAAGAAATGAGATTAGCTTCCCACCCATGCACCTCATGTGCAGCTACCCCTTATTTCAGTAGAGGCCGCGTGTTGCTTCAGAGGAGTTTGCAGACTTGGATGGACTAAGAAGAAAGGCCAAGTGATTTGCTTCTTCCGAAAACCAGTTTATGAAAAGACCTTTTGGATGAATCCCGGTAAACTGATCCCTCTCTGATCAAGGGAATCGCACAGGTCTTAGCTCATAGCAGTGTTTTGTTTCCTTGTAGCCAACTCACTGGCAGCTAAAATAAAGCAGCCATCAAGAAATTGTAATTGTCTGGAACAGTACTGGTGTTTCACTTGTCATACATGCCTGGAAGTAGAGTAGATTCAAGACACAGGGCCAGAGAATCCATAGGGCCAGAGAATCCTTGCCTGCAACATGTTTCTTAAACCTTGAAGTTGATTCTGCTTGTTGAGAAGTAGAGGTCACAATGGCATTAGATTTCTTGGATTTTTATCTCAGCTCCTTCCCCTAGTTGAATGCTGGGCAATTTCCTAACCTCATCTTTCATGTAGGGAGAGTAATATACCCCCTACTCTCTTCTCCCCCACTTCAAAACCCTGCCCTGGGAGGTTTAGTTAAGCATGTAGAACAAAGCCTGGCATGTATTATAGGCTGAAAAAGAGATGCTATTGTTGCTTTAGTATGATTACTGCTGCTAACCATCAGCTCTTCTGATTCATGGCAACCTCATGTATGTTGGTAGAGTTGTGCTCCAAAGGGTTTGCCCTTTTTTTTGAGAGTAAATTGCCAGGTCTTTTTTCTTAGCCACCTCTTGTGTGTCACTGAGTCAAAAGTGACCCAGAGCTGACCCTCCAGTGGATTTTCTGAGGCAGTAAACCACACAGAAGGAGACTGCCCATCCTTCTCCCACAGAGCAGCTGGTGGATTCAAACCAAGTGCTTTTGGGATTGCAGCACAACTTACCACTAGACAACTTGGTTTGCAGCTAAGTCCCTTAATTATTTGCATTGCCCAGAGACTCCACAACTATTGCTGCTTCTACTAACCAAACAGGAAACTGAAACTAAATAGAAGCAACAGTGGAAGTCTGTAAGTCAAGGTCAGTCCTTTCTACCTATAGCATTGAAACACTCTTAACACTCACTTGCTGAGATTGTCAATTACCAATATTTAATCAGAGTGAAAGGAAACCTAGCTGTATTTTCTGTATGGAAAAAATATTATGCATAATTACCAAACTTTCTTTTTTAAAAATTTTTGTAGGAGTTTTTCATCAGTATGTCTGAAACCATTAAATACAATGACGATGATCATAAAACTCTGTTTCTGAAAACACTAAATGAACAACGTCTGGAAGGAGAATTTTGTGATATTGCTATCGTGGTTGAAGATGTGAAATTCAGAGCACACAGATGTGTCCTCGCCGCCTGCAGCACCTACTTTAAGAAGCTCTTTAAAAAACTTGAAGTTGATAGCTCTTCAGTAATAGAAATAGATTTTCTTCGTTCTGATATCTTTGAAGAGGTCCTGAACTACATGTACACCGCAAAGATTTCTGTCAAAAAAGAAGATGTCAACTTAATGATGTCATCAGGGCAGATTCTTGGAATCCGATTTTTGGACAAACTCTGTTCTCAGAAGCGTGATGTTTCTAGTCCCGATGAGAATAACGGCCAGTCCAAAAGCAAGTACTGCCTGAAAATCAACCGCCCTATTGGTGATGCTGCAGATGCCCAGGACGACGACGTCGAGGAGATTGGAGATCAGGACGACAGTCCTTCTGATGACACAGTAGAAGGCACCCCGCCGAGCCAGGAGGATGGCAAGTCGCCCACCACCACGCTCAGGGTGCAAGAAGCAATTTTGAAAGAGCTGGGGAGTGAGGAAGTTCGAAAAGTGAATTGCTACGGCCAGGAAGTAGAATCCATGGAGACACCAGAATCAAAAGACTTGGGGTCCCAGACCCCTCAGGCCTTAACCTTTAATGATGGAATGAGTGAAGTGAAAGATGAGCAGACCCCAGGCTGGACGACAGCCGCCAGTGACATGAAGTTCGAGTATTTGCTCTATGGGCACCGGGAGCAGATTGCCTGCCAAGCCTGTGGCAAGACCTTCTCAGATGAAGGCCGGCTGAGGAAGCATGAGAAGCTGCACACGGCAGACAGGCCATTCGTCTGTGAAATGTGCACAAAGGGGTTTACCACCCAGGCCCACCTGAAGGAACACCTCAAAATCCACACGGGCTACAAGCCCTACAGCTGTGAAGTTTGTGGCAAGTCGTTTATCCGGGCCCCGGACCTGAAGAAGCACGAGCGTGTGCACAGCAATGAAAGGCCCTTTGCGTGCCACATGTGCGACAAAGCCTTCAAGCACAAGTCGCACCTCAAGGACCACGAGCGGAGGCACCGAGGGGAGAAGCCGTTTGTGTGTGGCTCGTGCACCAAGGCCTTCGCCAAGGCGTCGGATCTGAAGCGGCATGAGAACAACATGCACAGCGAGAGGAAGCAGGTGACCCCCAGCGCCATCCAGAGCGAGACAGAACAGTTGCAGGCGGCCGCCATGGCCGCAGAGGCCGAGCAGCAGCTGGAGACCATAGCCTGCAGCTAGAGGCAGGAGCAGGCCTGTCCCAGAGGACTCACAGCCCCTGGCCCGTGCCAGCGCCGGGCCTGCTGGACACCAGGGGCATTGCACTCACTGGACTCCGGCAGTGTTTGGTTTGGTATTTTAAAAAACTTTTTCCGGAAATAACGTTCCTAGTTTCTGACCAAACTGTTTCACTGTCCTGTCGGGTGTCTGATATTTACATGTTGCCAGTAAATCCCACCTATTCCACTTCCCTCGTTTTTTATGATTTGTATTTGAGAACTGCTGTGTCCACTCTGGGGGGGTGACAGACTTCTCTTCCTTTTTACCTACTCTCCCGCACCAGGATGTGCACTGTACAGAATCACAACAGAGTCAGTTGATTTCTTAATCATCACACAGACATGTGACTTAGGGTCAAAACAGCAATCTTAATGAAAAAAGCAGAAAATATCGTTGGGTGATTGAAACCAAGACTCCTACAACAATATTAAAAGTCCTAAAACTCTAGAATGGTATTGTGTTCACATTTGATTTGTTTCACTGGTTTTGTGGACAAGTGATGGTCGCTTTGCTAAAATATTTCTTCTGCCATTTTGATTGCCTCATACCTGCTCCAAAAGCGGTAGCAAAACCTCCTCTTCACCCCCAGACCATGGTGGTCTTGGGGCCAAGTTCTTAATGTCCCTGTCTTTTGGGCATTGCTACTTAAACAACAGAATGGGATTTGTGCAGGGGAGCAGTGGTGAAGAATAGAGCTTGACCCTAGAGAGAAGCTTGTTACATTGCAACATCCCAAGGTTTTACATACCAAAATAATTATTGATTTTGAAGTAGAATTTTTACTTAGGATCCAAATTAGGACAAGCACAGGACAAGGTATGTTTCAAACGCTTTTATTTGTGTAAGTTAAAGTCATCAAGCTTTTGGATTCACTGTAGCACCTGATTTGCCTGTAAGAGAGATGCAATACGCTTAATAAAGCTAAAATCTAAGTGTGTAAATAGTATAGAACTGTCGGTCTTACATATTTCAAGTAAAAGACAGCTGCACTTTTTTTTTTTGCACATTGGATTAAAATAATCTCCATCAGCAACAGACATTAGACTGTTTTAACCAATGTTAAAGATTGTCAGACCAAATGACTATGTTTTTTGAATTATATTTCATCACAGGTTAGAGTTTTAAATAGAAATTGATTGCCTTTTTCGTAGCTGTAAATTAGCATTTTAAATTCTAATTTTGGTGTATTAAATATTTCTTTAGATATATATTGAAATGCCAACAATAGTTTGAAGTAATGTTCTGTAATAAAGTACTAATCTGTTACTTTAGAATATGTACAATTTTAGGCAAATGTCGACTTTTAATTTTTTGTTATTAGGGTTTTTGCTTTGTTTTTTTAAAGTTACATTAAAGTAATTTTGTTTCATAGTTGGTTGTGTTTACATCTGTAATTACTATTGTGGAAGAAATTTTGTTTTCTAAATTGGTATAACTGTTATGCTCACGACTGTAGGATGCAGATGCTACCTTTTAAAGAATTTATTTATTGGTAAAATGTTTAGTTTTATTTAATTTCTTTTTTCAGAAGTTGTTTGTTCTGTACTAAAAATAGTCCTGTCACTGTGTTTTTATGCTGTTAGTAGAAGGGGGACTGATTGATGTTCCTAGGCTGTTTTAACCAAAGCAAGGGAGAAATAATTTAACATCCTGTCAATAGCTACTTCAACAAACCATTTTTTGGGCCTTCATTTTTGTATATAAAATATATATATACTTATACCATTGCTGTTTTCATTTTATTCATGGCAGCCTTTCACACATCTGTGTTTCTCCAAAATGTAATTTCTAAACTTTTCCTTATGGTTTTGCAGAGTTTCTATGGTAAACGTGTAGTAACCTGATTAAAGACATGGTGGTACCCCAAAAAAGCAAAATTAATTTTATCACTTGAATTACCCAGATACTTCTCTTTTGACCTAATTTGCATGAGTAGCATTTTCGTGTTGTACCCTTTCCCCTATCCCACACTCCTTAGGTTCCTGTCTGTGTTTGGGTAAATTTTTTGCTTATTTAGCTGCTGTGCTTCTTGCTGGGCGCTGGTCACGAAGATGGCCTATCCTGATCCAGAGGCTTTTTAACAGCCCCGGGATAATGAAGCCAGCATATTAAGTTCTTGAAGGGTAACTCCTGCACCACAGGGAATTAGCTTCTGGAATATGCCAGTGCTGGGTCTGCCTGTGGGTTAGAAGGGTAATTCTTACTGCCTTTTCATATTTAAAAGGAGCCCTGGTGTCACAGTGGATGAAGTGTTGGGTTGCTAAGTGAAAGGTTAGAGGTTTGAACACACCATGTGGCAGTCGGCTCCTAAAAACGTCCTTAAAACTGAGGAGATTCTACTCTGTCACCATGAGTCACTGCGCCATATCTATGTTAACTGTAGTCATGGGGTCACTATGAGTTGAACAGACTTGACAGCAGTAGGTTTGTTTTCATATTTACAAATTCTTTACTTTTTTCTGTCTGTACAAAGAGAAGGTCCACTGGTGAGATAGTGAATGTTTATGCTTGTTTATACAATTTTAGAACTGATTCAGGAAGGGAACTTTAGGGAGTTCCAAATTTTAGATAGTTTGCCTGGTATTTAACTTAGCCACTCCTTTGCAATTGTTAGAAGTAACTGAGGTTAACATCAAGTGATACTGATACTCAACTCATTGATGGCAAGTAAGAACCAACTCAGCTGACCCTCCAGTGGGTCTTCAGAGGCCATAATTGGCCCAGGAGGACACTGCCCGTCTTTCTTCCTTGGAGCAGCTGGTGGATTCCAACCACATGCCTCTGGGTTGATAGCACACCTCCTTACCCTCTAAGTCACCGGAACTCACGCCTGTATTGTTGAGGAGTAGCACAGTTTGTGATGAGAGAAAATGATGCAAATTTTTGGAGTTTCCAGTTTAATAGATTATGTTGTGTAAGATTATCTGTAACTCACTCATTTGGGATTCATAGTTGCTTAAGGGTTGGGCTACTTGACCTTGAAGTCTATGCTTTGAACCCACCAGCTGCTTTGCATTAGGAAAATAAGGCAGTCTGCTCCAGGAAGGTTTATAGCCTAGGAAACTCAGTGTTTACTGTGCTCTACAGAGACACTGTTAAGTTGGAATTAACTCAATAGTAGTGAGTAATGCTGGCTTACTGGCTGTTAGTTCCCATTTATTGTGTGCTGTTGAGACCAACACATAGCTGACTCACCAGTGGGTTTTCAGAGGCAGTAAATTGCACAGAAGAAGATTGCCCATCCTTCTCGCATGGAGTGGCTGGTGGATTCCAACCGTGTGCATTTGGGATTGCACTGCAGTTTGTTACCACTAGACCACTAGTCCACTAGAGCTCCCTTGTTATGTGCCTGTTGAGTCCACTATGACTCATAATTCTATAAACAGTGGCTCTGAACCTTGCTCTATCCTGAGCCAACCTTTCCGTCTCCGACATGCCTGTCTCCAATGCCACAGTCACTGTCAATCCTCCAACCTTCCAAGCATGATATCCTTCTCCAAGGACATGTCCTTCCTAACAACATGCTCAAAGTATGGCAAATGAAGTTTCAAAATCTTTGCCTCTAAGGAACAACCTAGTTTCACCCTCTGCAGAACAGACTTGTTTGTTTTCCTGGTGGTCCATGGTATGTTCGGTTCTGTTCTGCGGCACCACAACTCAAAGTCATCAATTCTTCTTATTCTTCATCCTTATTCATTGTCTAGCTTTCAGATACCTAATAAGCAATTGAGAAGACCATGGCCTGAATAAAAGGTGCATCTTTATTTCTAAATTAACAGCATTGCTTTTTAGCGCTTTGGAGAAGTCCCTAAGAGCAGACTTTCACAATGTAACTGTTCTTTTGATTTTCTGACTGCTGGTGCCAAGAGAACACGGTGAACATCCGAACAAGATGGCATAGTTAACAACAGTAATCTTTACCTATCATGTTACTGTCTACTGGCCCAGTGGTGAGAATCTTTGTTTCCTTGACGTTGAAATGCAATCCATATTGAAGACTACAGTCCTTGAACTTCTACATCAAATGCTTCAGATCTTCAGGTTCAGTGAGCAAGGCTGTGTCATCTGTAGAGCACAGGTTTTGATGAGTCTTCCTCCAATCCTGATGTCACACACATTCCTCCTCATAGTCTTATCTAGCCTCTCAAATAATCTCTTCCACATATAGATTGAAAAGGTATGGAGAAAAGCTATATCCCTGACACACTATTTTCTTGATTTTGAACTATACATTGTTTCCTTGCTGCCATAGTTCCCAGTATTAAATGCTGACTGTGTAAGAGTAATCAAACCAAAACCAGTGCCACTGAGTTGATTGAAACTCATAGCAAGTCTCCATGGGCCTTCTGAGGCAGCCCATCTGTCTCCCATGGAGTCTCTCAGATCCAAACTGTCTACCTTTTGGTTAGCAGTCTAAAGCATTATACACTGTGCCACCATGCTTCCTTGTAAGGATAATATTGGGTAGCTGAAACCCCAGTGGGGTTTCAGAGGCAGTAAATCTCACAAGAGGAATTTGCATGCCATTCTTTCTCAGAGCAGCTGGTGGATTTGAGCCACATGCCTTTAGTCTGGCAGTGCAGCTCCTTACCACTAGGCTACCAGAGCTCCGCTTCAAAGAGAAATGTGTGCCCTGACCCTTCAGTGGGTTTTCAGAGGCAGTCAATCGCATGTGAGTTGATTGCCCAACGCAGCTGCTGGCTTAGAACTGTACCGTTCAGTTGGCTGTGCAACTCTTTAATACTAAGTAATAGAAATAGTATAAGGATTTAGTAACGAATTCTCAGTCACAGGCATGAAATCTGTGGCTTTCAGAAGAGAAAGGAGCTCTCCCACTTTCATGTCAGTTTTTACATTTCACATTTCCTTCCCTTTCTTCATTGTCTGCCCAGGCAAATGTCTGAGGGAGTAGATACAAGGCCAGAGGCAGGGTAGCCATTTACAGTGATTACTGTCAGAGG